TCTTCCTCTTAAGTTGACTATGAGAGGGGCAGTAGGGAAGGGCAGAGAGGACATATTGTGCCACCGCCCCTCAGTTAGCCCTGTGGGGACCTATCTGACCTCACTTTATTATTTTTTTAACCTCTTCTTGAATTTTCATGACAATTATAGAACAGAGTAGTAAAGAATCTTAGATGATTGATGATGATAATTTCATGAACCAGCAAAATATATATAATATATAATCATATATAGATTCTTTTTTAAATTTTATTTTATTTTATTATACTTTAAGTTCTGGGGTACATGTGCAGAACGTGTGGGTTTGTTACATAGCTATATACATGTGCCATGGTGGTTTGCTGCCTTAATCACCCCACCATCTATGTTAGGTATTTCTCCCAATGCTATCCCTCCCTTAGACCCCCACCTCCCGACATGCCCCAGTGTGTGATGTTCCCCTCCATGTGTTCTCATTATTCAACTCTCACTTATGAGTGAGAACATGCGGTGTTTGGTGTCCTGTTCTTATGTTAGTTTGCTGAGAATGATGGTTTCCAGCTTTATCCATGTCCCTCCCTGCAAAGGACATAAACTCATCCTTTTTTTATGGCTGCATAGTATTCCAGGGTGTATATGTGCCACATTTTCTTTATCCAGTCTATCACTGATGGGCATTTGAGTTGGTTCCAAGACTTTGCTATTGTGAACAGTGTCGCAATAAACATATGAGTGTGCAATTGGTTAGCATGTGGTACTTATATTCTTTTTTTAAGTTTTGTTTTATTTTTAATTGACAAACAATAGTTGTATGTATTATGGGGTACAATGAGATGTAGTGATACACGGATACATTGTAGAATTATCAAATCAGGCTAATTAATGTATCATCACCTCAAATATTTATCATTTTTTTGTGGTGAGAACATTTAAACTCCTCTTTTTTAGCTATTTTGAAATTTACAATACATTATTATCAACTATAGTCACGTACTGTGCAGTAGAACATCAGAATTTTTTTGGCCTCAACTTTCCATAGCAGTGGTTGTGAATCTTGACCACACATCAGAATTACCTTCAGAGTATTTATAAATCCTGATGTCCAGATTGAACTCTAGATCAATTAAATCAGGGTTGGACACAAACTATATTTTTTAAAAAATAATTTTTCCTTTTGGGACAACCTTAACCTAATATTATTCTCTCAGGCACCTGTTTCCACCAATGAGGAAGAAGAAAAATCAAATCCTATCGTTTTTTATAGCTTAACTATTGACAAGAATTATTAAATCAATTTTGGCCTTATGAAATGAAGGATTATACTATGTCACCTCAATTTTAATGAACAATTATTTGAAACTTTGAACTAAATTCAGTAGGAGAATACATACTCTAGTGGTACATACTATAGTGGTGTATAAGGTTTGAAGAAAAAATAAATTTCTGACTATATTAAAACATATAACTATATTAAAAATATAAAGGATAAACAGTCTGAACTGTTTTTCTTAATTATTTTCAAAATGTGAGTAATTTTCCAATTGCAGTTAAGATATTTTGTAAAACAAAAATTTCTCCCCACTCCTTTATATGAAGATTTTCTGAAGTGATTTGCCAAAAGCATGTTCTGAGACAGAGCCAGGTAAGTACACGTCCCAAAAGACAGAGTTTTGTAAAGCAGAAGTGCTCACATTCTTTTTGTAAAGCTATCTGCACACACAGTGGGGTTTTCTGTTTGGATAAATTTGTCTCTGTGTATAATCTCTTGAAAATATACTTTGCAAAGTATTATGCTATAACTCAGTGTTAGAAATGTTTGCTTCCCATCACATATATTTGGAATATAAATTAAAAGATACATAAACATTTAAAAAAACAAGCTTAATGTTACTGATTATTTGGGCCTTTTAAAAGTTCAGTTTATTTTTTAAAACAAAACAAAACAGGTTTCATGGCATTGAGCTTAAATCTCAATGACAAGTTTTGATAATACATATTCCTGTTATTGATCTTTTAAATTTGGCATTTGTATATAGTTCAACCAGCTAACCAAAAACTAAACATGCTTGAACATATCTCAAAAGTAACTAAATATGTCACTATAAGGATATTTATTGGGAATTATAAAGTCATTCAGTTTCTGATTATTCTTAATAACATTAAACTCGGTGTTATTTGCGCTATTTCAGCCTGTTAGAGTTTTACTCTGTACAGAATTATAAAAAATCTAAATACTTAACATATTTCACAACATGCCAAAATATGTTATTGTCTACAGAACTGCTTTGTAGCATTCCAATTTTAAGGGTCATGGTTTAAGCACTCGCTGAAATTTTCTTTTCTTTGAAAATTTTAATTTTCTTTCAACTCCCAAATTAATCCTGTGCATATTCTTCAAAACTGTGAACATTTGATGTGACAGCAATCATCTCTCCGGCCTTTTTTTTCCTTGCATCCAGCCCTGATAAGCTATCACCAGTCCTTACAAGAAAAGAAAGTCTATGCCCAAGGAACACTCACTTTGCCTTGAACTCAATGAGATACCATGACTAGAACTGAATTGACTTAATGTTTTAAATGAAATACAGTGGTCCTAGTGAGGCAATGGCCATGATATCAGAGAAAGTGATAAGCATTTTGTTCCAAGGGATTTCTACCACAAATAATGCTAGTATAAGAAATTGAATATAATCATTTGAACTAAAAAAAAAAAGAAAGAAAAAGGTCATCAAAAATGTGCATTGAAACGGTAATTTAGAACTTACATCTACTTGAGATAGCTCTTTAGTCTTTTTAACATATGGACAAAAGGTAGGCTGTAGACTGTGGTCTTTCTCTCTCTCTTTCTGTCTCTCTTACAAACACAAACACACAGGAATTAAGGCAAACTTACAGATATTTTCATAATGATATTTTAAAATCTATAGCTCTAACGATAGCATCACAAACTACAAAAGCAAAGCAAACAGCTAGATGCTTTAATAATGATCTTTTGAAAACCACAAATATATTGTTGGGTATTTTAGGAAGGATGATCTGGGGGGAGTGTAGGACTGGATTCTGACATAGCCTAACAACCTCACTGAATCCTGGCAATAGAGATGCCATTAGCAGAGAAACTCCTGCACAGCACCCTCTCCTAGCCATCTGCCTTAGCTCTTCAGTGAATCGCCACAAGGAGATTCCACACTGAAATCGGCACATGGAGAACTCAGAAGAAACCCACTACCCACTCTACTCTTCAGGCCTGGCTGCCAAAGAGCCATCAGAGAACAACAGCACTCAGCCACTTCTGTCCCCATATTTCAATTAGTAGGCAAGTGATTCTAAAACTGTACATTAACAGGATCGTAGAATACTTGAGGAAGACAGAGCTTTGTAGATTGCACAGTCCAATTTCATGCTTACTTCTTCACTATCTAAGCAAAAATCTTTGTCTCTCCTCTCCCTATACACATACACACACACGCGCGTGCACACACACACACACACACACACACACCGCAGATGAGACAGCAAGGGTGAGAGATTTTCCTAAGGCCAGGCTGCAAGTTAGATCAGAGCTGGAATTAGAACCCAAATCTCATAACTAGAGCTAGCCAACTGCTATTCTAGACTCCGGACAAATCTGCTTCAGTGTCATGAATTCTACATATGCTAAATTGGGCATTCATATTTTATCTGAGGTTGCCTGCTATTGACTCCTAAAGAAATCCAACAAAATCACCTTTCTGGGCCTTTAATCATTCTGCCAGTTTCAAGGTGAAAACTCAAGGCAAGTTATTTAACATCTCTGGGCTCTTTCCTCGTCTAAAATTCATGGGTTGAACCGGAGACCCCGGAGGAACTTTCCAGTTATAAAAACTCTGCTTTCCACCTATTGTTTTATGCTTCATTCTTGATGTTTGCAATTTTCACTAGGTGGCAGGATTCCACCATCGAATTACAAAAGGATTTTCAGATGGATGCCTGGAAGCAAAAAGAAGTTTTAAAGAAAATTCTTTCTTCACAAGGGACATTAAAAAAAAAAAAAAGTAAAAGCCAAAAGGAAACAATAACTACAAAGGCAGTGGCCCATAAATTTCATAAAGATCTATACCGATTTTTAATATAAGCATTAAATAGGAAATTAATCCTATGCTCTTTCATGTTCTTCAGTGCAATACTATAATTTGCAATTTGATGATAAAGTCAGGTAAAAGTCTGCTTAGTTTTGTACATTTTAAATTTCATTTTAGCTGAATGCTAGTTAGAGAATGCCAGGTCCCCTTGGGCTAACTGGTGACGCAGGCAATCTAAAGTCAAAAATAAAAATAAAATAAAATAAAGCACTTTAGATAGTTATTAGATGCGTTACCAAGTTGTCTCTTAGTTAGTTCTAATAGATTTAGATTAACTTCTAAGTTTATTTTTGATATCTCGACCAAAAGAGTACATGAAAAGGAATATAGCACTTGGATTTTTGCACTTATTTGTCAAATCCTTAAAAGGGTACTCTTTTGGGTTTTATGACATTTCATCATACTTTTAAAATTATTGCCCAAAATTGGCCTTTTCATGAATGCTACATAATAAATGTCACTACCAACACTCTATAAGCGTCCCCAAAATAGCCAAGCAAAATAGTTATGCTGAGCTGAGCGTTTCTCCTCTGCCAGAGCCAAGTGAAGTGACACGAAACAATAACTCAACTGAACATTCTAGTATTGCCTGGAAAAAACGGTCCCCAGCGTCTTGCTGGTTGTCAGAAGAACATGATTAACTAGGCCTTTTTCCTCAGCTGATAAATATGGCATTCTTCCCACCCACCCTTCATCAATTGCAAGTTAATTACAGAGGCTGTGGTCCATTGCTCTCCAACGTTTCTTAGAAAACAACTCACATCCTAGAAAAATCTAATGTCCGCAGCAAAATCAACCTAATACATAGACTTCTGCATCAGAACTTGAAAACACCATCAACAGGTTACTTTCATTCCTTCCTTCCCGGCACAGAGCCCCGATACCTCGTTCGGGTCCTACCTTTGCAACTTGTAAGGGCTGCTTCTGCTCCTTGCCACCTTGCAATCGGAACCCCCAGGGCGCCCCTCCAGTCATGGAAATGCAGATAAAATCCCCCGTGCCCATATTTTCCTTTTAGTTGGGCAGCATGTAGAGCTTGAAAAAACAGACGAAGCTTGGGTGCGGTGGAGGATGCGCACTTAGCTGCGGGCGCCTGCCGAGGACGCAGGACTCGGGAGTGCAGAGCCTCCGCCGCTGCTGCTACCGCTGCCCTGGACGCCCGCTGCGAATTTGTGCGGCTAATGGGCTCATTCTCAGGGAGGCAGAGGCGCTCGCAGCATCCAGGACACAGCCCACTCTTGCGTCACTCTCGTTTGCTCGGCCCACCTTCAGGGAAAAGAAAGCAGCCTCACACACAAGAGCATGTCCCCACGTGGGGCGAGATAAGGGAAAGGAGGACGGAAGGGAGAGCAAAGTTCCCTGGCACTGACAGATTAATCCAAGCAGTTAAAGGTATGAGTATGATTGAAAACCTTCCATTTAATAATTCTGTGAATAGTAAAGAACATGTGACGTTTTAATCTCCACGCCATGAGTGATGTCCTAAAATATGAGCGTTGGGAATTCAACTACTAGGGGATTAGAGCCTTTCAAATAAATAGTTTGAGAATTGCCACATTTATGAACGGAATAGACAAAAAAGAGTTAAAGTGAGTTAAATTACTACTTTTCTGTCTGCAGCCTGCTGAATTAATGCTATAAGAGGAAACAAAAGAAAGCACATTTTTAAAATAAACCTGCAACTCTGAAAAGTACTTTTCTGAACCATCTATTTAAAGAAGGGGAAAGAGAAGAGACAGGGAGAGGGAGATAGAAAGAGAGAGAATGAATATAAATTTTTCTCCTGGAAACTACATTCTTATAACTACATATATTGCATAGATTTGGGTATGTTAAATTTTAACGTGTTTTATTTTCTTTCTTCCTGCTGATCTTTTTAAACCTAAACCCAACAGTTAGTCAACTGCATAAAATGTACAATGTCACCTACAGGTTTATTTTTATAGTTTGTCATCACATGTCATGAATCTGGGTGGTCCAATATAAAAGTAGATTTTGTATATTCCAAATATTTAAATGTTTTAAATCTGAATATGATCTGCCAAAAATGTACAAATGGGACATTTTAATTTTCTGATAATGCTTTTATTTTCCATAATGTTCATCCACATAAAAACATACTAAAAATAAAGAAGAGCCTGGGAAAGTTAGTTTGTGTTACTTGTGGTACCAAACAAAAGTGATTTCCAGACATGCTGCCCGTTGCAGCACTAAGAAGCTCTATTAACAGTAAGTCCTCACTTAAAATGTCACGGATAGGTTCATGGAAACTGTGACTTTAAAACCAATTTTACCATAGACCAATTGATAAAAACAAGACATCACCAAACTTCTAAATAAAGATTTAAACACTTCTAATATTAAACATGGAAATAAATGTCAGCTATACATGCATATAAGAAATATTAATAAAACCAAGATAATCATTGACCCAACGTTTGGTGAATCAGTGAGTGAGGGCAGCTGTAGTGGTAGTGGATTCAATCAAGGAATAAATGTTTGCAAAGAGAAAATTATAAGGAGTACCACCTGTCACAACGCAATTCAAAACCATCACAAATATAGCAGGCTCACTGAGCAATTTCATACAGTATCATTTGTTGTCTTGCATTTGTGTGATTATCATATATTTTATGAATTTTTACATGTCAATAATTTGTATCCATACGTTTATTCCTCCTCCAACCCACTTATTCCAATTCAGAGTCTCTGGTGGCTTGAGCCTCTCCCTGCAGCTTAGAGCACAAGACAGGAACCAGCCTTGGCCAGCCCATCAGAAGGCAAACACACACACACACACACACACACACTCACTGACTCACTCACACTCAGACGGGGACCATTTAGTCATGCCAGTTTACCTCATAAGCACAGCTTTGGGTTGTGGCAGGAAACCAGAGGACCTGGAGAAAACCCATACAGACATGGGGAGAACATTCAGACTCCATACATACAGTGGCCCCAGCTGGAAATAGGTGTTTTTCCTCATCAATGTTATCATGAAACAACGTTGAATAAAATAGCATTATCTAAGGACCTGTGGTACAATTAACATTTTACACAGCCCATGCTCCCTAGAAGCCAAAGGCATCAAGTGATTTTATTTGTGACTTATCAATGAAGTAAGGACAATGAAATCAGAGATTGTGGCACTGGAAAAGACCCTTTGAAGGTCACAAGGGCCAGATAGTCACCCTCAGTTTGATTCCCTTCTGAAATGCAAACTGATTTTCCCAGTTTTTCCTTTAAAAAGTAGTTACAAGGGACATCATAAAATATGAGACCTGACACTATTTGCAATAGCAAAGACTTGGAACCAACTCAAATGCCCATCAATGATGGACTGGATAAAGAAAATGTGGCACATATACACCATGGAATACTATGCAGCCATGAAAAAGAACGAGTTCATGTCCTTTGCAGGGACATGGATGAAGCTAGAAGCCATCATTCTCAGCAAACTAACACAGGAACAGAAAACCAAACACAGCATGCTCTTACTCATAAGTGGGAGCTGAACAGTGAGAACACATGGACACAGGGAGGGGAACATCACACACCTGGGCCTGTTGGGAGGTGGGGGAAAGGGGAAAGGAGAGCATTAGGACAAATACCTAATGCATCTGGGGCTTAAAACCTAGATGATGGGTTGATAGGTGCAACAAACCACCATGGAACATGTATACCTATGTAACAAACCTGCACATTCTGCACACATATCTCAGAACTTAAAGTAAAAATTTTTCAAAAATGAGCTCTAAGAACAAAGAAAAAAAAATACTTTCATATTTGTTCTTTTTACTTTTTCATGTCCCTGAGTGCTCTTCAACCCACTCAACTCTAGCTTCTGCCCCTTCCCAACAGGAAAAGCTCTGGGCAAGGTCACTTACTGTTTTTTGAGTAGCCCTTGAAATTAATGACAGTGTCCTCCTTAAATCATTTCTCCTTTAGGTTTCCAGGACCCCGCAAGCTCTACGCTTTCCTCTTGCCCCTCTAGCCACTCTCTAGCTCTTTCTTCTCTGGTAGGTCTTCTGTCTCTTCTCTTCTCATCAGTGTTGGCATTCATATGGCCTGATCTTCCTTCTTTCTCACTTTACGCTCTTTCTGTGGGTTCTCTCATTCACCCTAAAGAATTCAACCATGCCCCTCAATCCCAGACATTTTTCCTTAGCTGCAGGCCAATATATATAACTGCCTACTCAACCTGTTTTTGATTTCTTTTTGTTTTTGTTTTTGAAGAGGGGGTCTCACTCTGTTGCCCGGGCTAAAATGCAATGGAGTGATTATGGCTCACTGAAGCCTTGAACTTCTGGGCTCAAGCAAACCTCCTCCGTCAGCCTCCTCTGTAGCTAGGACTACAGGGACAGGCCACCAAGCCCAGCTAATTAAACTTGTTTCTATGGATGGATTTATTACAGAACCTGAAACTCGGTATATATAAGTTAATTATTTCCCCCAACCCCGGCACCAAATTCTGCTTCTCCTGTGTTCCCCATCTCAAGATAATTAACAGAACTGTTACCTTTCTCTTATGCCCAGTTCCCTTCAACTCCGACTAAATGTAAATATGGTGCTAGAGGCTGGAACTGGGGCAACCATCTTGTGACCATGAGCCAGAGCCCAGGAAAATTGTAGAAACTCCAGTTTTGAATAAATGAATGCCAACAGTTGTCCACCTCCTGTGCAAGAAAACCCATATTTGTTTAAACTGCTATAGGAAAATTTTATTGTTATTTGCAGCCAGTACATACCTGACTGCTACACTTAATGAATAGCTTTTCCCATCCAACAAATTCCTTTAGACAGAACCAGGGAATCAAACTTGTTATAATTTATCAAAGCTTTACAGTGTGCCAGGGACTTGACATACAATATTGTATTTATTTGCAAAGTAACCATGCTAGATAGGTATTAGTGTCTCTTTTTTTACTGCTAATTAACTATGCTTTAAATCCTAAGTGATAGAGCCAGGGTTTGAACTTTTGTCTACCCAGATTTAAAATACCTATTTTTAATTATTGCTATTCTGCCTCTAGGTCTTATGTGTTCCCTGATGCTCATCTCATGCATCCAGTTATCCATTAATGCCTACAGGTCTGGTCATGTGTGGTGGTTCATGCCTATAATCACAGCACTTTGGGAGGCCTAGATGGGTGAATCACTTGAGAACAGGAGTTCGAGACTAGCCTGGCCAACGTGGTGAAAGCCCGTCTCTACTAAATGTATAAAAATTAGCTGGGTGTGGTGGTGCATGCCTGTAATCCTTGCTACTCGGGAGGCTGAGGCAGGAGAATCACTAGAACCTGGGAGGTGGAGGTTGCAGTGAGCCGAGATCACATCACTACTCTCCAGCCTGGGCAACAGAGTGAGACTCCATCGCAGAAAAAAACAAAAAAAGATCTATGGCTCTAACTTCTAAATAGTTTGGAAATCTGCTCCTTTACTCATTTTCTACTCCCAAGACCACATTTATCTCTGACCTGGACTTCAGCAATCTCCTGTTATCTCTATTCCAGGCTTGTTCCCACCTCCAATTCATTTTTTACTCTAAAGCCAGGGAGAAAATTTGAAATATAATGTCGATGTTATTTTTCTATGGTTCAAATCTTCAAGAGCTCCCAGAATAAAGCTGGAATTTTTAACATGGAAACATTTTCTGCCTCCCACTCCCTACTTTTTCCATCTTGTTGCTCACTATTCCCACCTTGAATTTTATGATTCAGACACGGAGAAGTACTGCTAGTTTCCCTAATTTGCTTTGTTGTTTCACCTGCTTAGGTATTTCTCCAAACTATTCAGTCTGCCCACACATAAATCACCTAATAATTCCTCCTCGTCCTCCGGCCTCAGATTAGATCACATTCTCCAGGAAGCCTTTCCCAACCTTCCCAGTGTCCAGGTTAGGTGTTCCTTCCACATGCTACTATCACTCTGTACTTTCCCTCTCAGTCTAATGGTCTCTAAAATTGTCTAAATCCTACACTAGGTTATTAACCCTGTGAGATTAGGGGTCATTGCTGACTTATTCAGAATTCTATCCCCAAGTCTAATAGTTCCTGATGAATAATTGGTGCCCAATTAATATGAGTAAAGAGTAAATAAGAGTTCCTAGAATAGGCGGGGCGTGTTGGCTCATGCCTGTAATCCCAGAACTTTGGGAGGCTGAGGCTGGCAGATCAC